CCCAAAGCTGTGAGCAGATTCTTCCCAAGGCAATGTATAATAACTTCAGAGAAAAAAGGAAAGCAGCAAGTCATTGCAGTTATGTGAATGGCTGCTAGAGGGCATCTATGTTACATTCTATGACACTCTGCCTTTTCAGTTTGATGGGGCACAACTAAATCCAGGGCATACAGGCTACAAAACATCTTTTTTTTAATTCGCATACATTTCCTAAAAGGGCACAAACCTTTTACTTCTGAAGGAATATTGCAATGCTTCTTGCTGCTGAGATATCCCTGTCATTTCTTGGATTGATCTGAGACTTATTTATAGTGTGACTATGGAACCTTCCTTTTTATAAATTGTCATTAGCTGGAAAACTCTTAAATTAGGCCTTCCAGTAGTTAGGACTGCTGTACCTTGTTACTCCGTGAAGGAGGTCAGGACCTCCGGACGGAGTGTTGTGATCGGCTGATTTTTCGTGTTCGCAGTCAAAACACTGGGTTCTCTTTGTGTAATCGGCACGCAATTTTATACGCCGTCTGCGGGCATGCCCGTGTTGATGCACGAATGTGTATTTTTGCTGTTGCTGCTTTCGCGGTCAATGTAATATCGCAGACGCACCCCTACAATTACGAGGCGAATTGGAATGGTCCAGAAAAACGCGTTGTTTGGAATAGCAGTGGGGGGGGTAAAAGTTCATGCAGATACGGGGTGGTTTTTATAAGTGGTTCCAGATGTTTTTGCCCATGGTTAAGAGATGCCAAGTTTTTTGGAAGATGTTCGCAGCCAAAACGCATTCTTCCGTACGTCGCATTTCTGTGTAATTTCGCATGTGGTGTTGCATTATGTCCGGGATGATGCACGTCTTTTTATTTTTACCGTAGCTATTTTGATATTGAAGTAAATGCATATTTTAGAAACATCCCTACTTTTACAATCCTGTGGAATAGGCCGTAGGTTTAGGCAGTTGTCTGGTAGCAGATGTACTCTAAGCAGATATCCTGATTATCTGGCCGGCGGTAGTAACACTCGCGGTGCTTACCGCAACTATTGCTGGAATTTCCAGGCGCGCTTAATTAGGTACAGGCACGGTAAGACGGTGGGACTGTCTTTGTTACTAGACACGACCATGATAGTCCGATCTTTATGTGAATGCAATGATTGTGTGTGTGTAATTAAAATGAACTTCGAACTTGAAGCACAGTATAATCTTTACACGCCCTGGGAGCAGTAATGGTTTAGCTCTTTGTATGTTTTATGCTTGTGACGCGCCCTCATTGTATTAATCGTTGCCTAATTATAATGTCTGCACAGTAGGTCTGGCGTTGACGCTAGGGATTTTGTTGAAATATATAAAACTTCACGGAGGATTGTCACCTATGGCTTCTTGTTAACTTTCTCCTGCATTTCTTGAATTGTGACTATTATCTTGATTATAAGTAACTTTGAAACTTTGTACTTTAAATATGAATATTATGAATGAAAAAAAGATGATACAAATAATTAAAAAAACACAGTTGTGAAAATTATATACATTTTGTTTACAAGTGCTTTGCATCTTTTCTTGCACCTCATATTGTGGTGGACAGGTACAATGCATTGGTGATGTACAAACCTGATTTATATAATAAAAAAACTAAATACAACACTCTTTGTGACACACGGTGTTTGTACGTTGCAAATTCCTGTTTCAGTCTCAATATTATCATTACAGTTTATACCAATTGTGCAGACTATATTGATGCATGACATTACAGACCATGGTGAGATAAAATACATTTCATTGCCAGGCAGTTCATCAGAACAAGAATACAAATGTTAGTTTTTATCATTACACCTTTACTGTTCTCAAGGAACATGTAACACTGTACCCATACTGCA